AAAGCGAAAGAGGGACTGTTTGAGTTCGATTCGACATCTCCATCAGATACATGTACTCGAACAACTACATCAGCAACAATAACAAATTTAACATGCTACTACCAGAATTCTCTTAATATAGAGCTGGTTCGCCAGCCATCGCTCAAGTTTAATGTAGAAGTGGAAAATTGCGAGAATGTGGTGGTTGGTGATTATGCCAAAGCTAACATTTGCTGTTGTCAGAATAAGGGAACGGTGAATCAAACTGCAAGCTGTAGATCCACTGGACGGCACCTGAATGAAACTGTTCGCTTGTGCGAGCTGATGGCGACATAACTCCGACAGGGTTGTCCAAAAGAAAGACGAAGAAACGCTCACCCAGTGAGAAAAACAGCAGGAAAAAATCCGCCACAAAGACGAACTCGGAGTCGGGGAAAATCAAGACAAAATGGCGATTTCCTTTAAACCTGTCTGATTTCACGGACACTGAAAGCTTGCAACACAGCATTGATCAGTGGCTAGAGATGGTTATCTCGGACTTGCTATCTGAAGCTCAAGATCTGGATGATTTTGAGTCACTGATAAAGCTATTGGAAGAGGCAAGAAATCTTCATGAAAGCATGAATCTTCATGAAAGCATCCTTAAACTGGCTGAGACGATCCGAGCAATGAGTACACATGTTGAAATAAAAGACGGTGGAAACTACAATGTCTTGTTAATTAAAACCCAGTTTGTATTGGCAGAGTTTCATACCAAAGAAGGAAAATATTTNGAGTCACTGATAAAGCTTTTGGAAGAGGCAACAAGTCTTCACGAAAGCTCCATAGCTAATTGCATCCTTAAATTGGCTGAGGCGATCCGAGCAATGAGTGCCTGTGTTGAAAATGAAGACGGAGGAAAATACAGTGTCTTGTTAATTGAAACCCAGTTTGTATTAGCAGAGTTTTATTCAAAAGAGGGAAAGTATTCGTCAGCCATAGACTGTTTAAGGACATTAGAAGAGAGCCTGCCTGGAGACACTCAAAAATCCAGGCTTTATGCGAAAATTGCTAAAATTATGGAACACTGCTTAGAATATTCAGTGGACTTCCCTGAACATCAAAAGGAGCACGCAGGTGGTTTTAATACGTCGGTTTCGAACCGAAATCCCGACCAAGTTGTACTGAGTTATTACGAGAAAGCTCTGAAATTTAGCAACAAAGAACCGTCAGTAGAGAAGCGGGAAATTATTCAGAGATGCTGCTATTTGGGAAAAGCAGCTGTCCAGATGCGACTTTGGGAAAGACAAATTGAAACTGAAAGAAACGTACCGGAAGTGCGACAAAACTTGTCATCAACAGAAAGACTTTTCAACAGCATTTCACCCGCTATGAGATGTCAATTTTACCTAGCTGAAGCGTTTTTGCTTTTCTTTGAAGGAGGGCACCAAATGGTGGCAGAAATGAAGATACAGAAGGCTAAAACAATAGCTGAAGAGGAACATTTCTTGGAAAGAAAGTGCTTGGGTTCCAAGAGGCTCTATTTTCTATTAGCAGAATTAAACAAGTGTACAAACATTTCGGAAGTTGGAGGAGAGATTCTAGATTTGAATTATGTTGAAAGCCAGTTGTAAGAAGAAATAGACTTAAGCATTAATCCAATTAAAAAATGTTATTTTACAGCTGAGTGGGAAATGCATTGTAAGAAATATTAAAATCAAATGTACTTATTCTAGTGAGATTGAAATCTTGGAATTTCAGTGCTTCACTCCCATGCATATGCAGTTTGAAGGCAAAATTTGTCATCTAAACGTCAAAACAGAGTACTAAATGACATGCAATATGAACCAGAATATACCTCTAAAACTTAATTTGTCTGAGAAAAAGAAAGAAAACCTTTTGAATTAAAATACGTTTAATTATGTCCTCTCATCCTTCAGCCTTTGTTTTATCTTTCTGCGTCTCAGCATTTATAATAATTGAATATCTTTGAATTCTTTTTTTGTTCGATCTGTCGCAGCTCGCATCATGTGAGTATGAAAATTATATTTGTTGTGACATCTTTGTTATTGTCACGCATCACAAATTTTAAATATGGGCATCATCATCTATTTTTAGGAAGTCATATTGAAAGTGAAACCAACCTTTTGCCCACGTCAGTACAGTTCAAAACACAAAATTTCTGTCGCGTTTTCGGTAAGTTATCTGTGAAGAAAATGTCGAAATCGGCATTTCAAAACATGGTGGGCAAACCATGAGCGTGTTACGTGAATATCTACGACAACAATGTCTGAAAACCTCTAGTCTCCTCCTCAGCCGTTCACCGGAAGCGTATTTAATTTAGCCATGGATGGCACGAAACCACCAGAATCACAGACTCCTGTGTTGGAAAGGGAAGCGGCTGAGAGCTGTAACTGTTCCCATTGTTTAAATGGAAAAGAAATAACCATCAACGCTATTGGTATGACAGATTTGAACTTAGTACTGAGCAATAATGGAACGACGATTGTAGGGAATAACTCACAGTTGAATTTCTGCGAACGATGTCGAGTGTCACAAAGCAAAATGTCAGTTGCAGATGGAAAAGGCGCGTCGAGTCAGATTGAAAGTACTAAGAGCACGAAGCGGAAACGACGGAAACGAAAAAGATCGTCCAAACTCCAGACGACTTCGAAATGTGATGTGGACGGGAATTCCGCCGATGGTGAAAATTCAGACTCCGATAATGTGGATAAATTCAAAGATTTTCTTCAAAGTGACTCGGACGATTAGCAATCAGCGGTCACAACTAATCAAATGACCTCCATGTTGGCTGAGTTAGGTACTTTTACCAACGCATATAGGAGGAAGATAACAAAGTTATAATTTTCTTTCGTGTCATTGTAGCCCAGATCTCACTACTCCGTTTCTGACCGTGGGAGATCTGGGCTCGAGATATCTGGTGGACTTTCTGTAATAATATTGAGTTTCACACCTGAAAAGCGGGATCTAATTAACTCTCAAGCGAGTGATTAACTTCAAATATTTATAAATAAGCTTTTAAGTTAGATGTAAAATACATAATACCTTTAAAATTCGGGGGAGGGGTAATGGTATCACAACTGTCAACCTCCACATGTTGTCGCACTTCCCTCTCCCTCTAAGAACTGCAAGATATCGAGGCCCCATTTCTGTAAATATTTTCTGACTCAATTTAAGGGAAGACAGGAATGTTGTGGACAGATGGTAATCTGGACATACATGTAGGTTACTCACAGCAAAAAAACAATAACAACAACAACAACTTTATTGAAGTCTATAACTCTTGTAATAATATACATGAAAAATTTATTCGATTGTGATTGGCCGAGAGCAGTGCAGTTCAAGAGTAACACCAGTGCAAATTACACATCGTAATTCTGGATTATGATTGACTGAAAGACAACAGGTAATTTTCTAAGNGTAGCCCAGATCTCACTACTCCGTTTCTGACCGTGGGAGATCTGGGCTCAAGATATCTGGAGGACTTTCTGTATGCAATAATATTGAGTTTCACACCTGAAAAGCGGGATCTAATTAACTCTCAAGCGAATGATAAACATCAAATATTTATAAATAAGCTTTTAAGTTAAATGTAAAATACATAATACCTTTTAAATTCGAGGAAGGGGTAATGGTGTCACGACTGTCAACCTCCACTGCCTTACCCATGTTGTCGCACTTCCCGCTCCCTCCAAGATCTTTAAGTTATCTAGGCCCCATTTCTGTAAATATTTTCTGACTCAATTTAAGGGAAGACAGGAATGTTGTGGACAGATGGTAATCTGGACATACATGTAGGTTACTCACAACAAAAAAACAATAACAACAACAACAACTTTATTGAAGTCTATAACTCTTGTAATAATATACATGAAATATTTACTCGATTGTGATTGGCCGAGAGCAGTGCAGTTCAAGTGTAACACCAGTGCAAAAAGTGTGACACCAGTGCAAATTACACATCGTAATTCTGGATTATGATTGACTGAAAGACAACAGGTAATTTTCTAAGCCAATGATATCACGTAAAATGATGACGACAATTTTGTGCGGAAACTTTGAAAAACGTTTTCTTGAGTAAAAAAAATGGGTTTCAAGAAAGATCTTCCGGCACTTCCTCCACGCGAATTTTTTCATGTTTATATTATTAATAATATGAACGGCTCGTGCAATTTCAGCTTTTTGAAAAACTCACTCGTGCAAATTAATTTCAAATTGAAGGAGAAAAACCGTATGATTACCTA